ATAATAAAAGAATTTAGTAAAATAGTAAAAAATCGGAAATAAAATTACTATATAAAAATCGATAGCTTTGTGTATACAGACAAAAAACAGAGAAGCTAAAATGGAAGGGACAATCCAATATATGGCAGCAAAATGATAATAAAATAACTTAGGGGTATTCGTTTGGCACTAGTGTGCAAGATTTATATGAGGAAAACTCACAAAACACTACTGAAGGAGACAAAATTGAACAAATGCAAAGGCAGCCATGTCCTTAGATAGAAAACATAACATCATAAAGATGTTTAGTCTGCCAAGGTTAACTTATACATTTAATAACATCAAAATAACAATATCCTAAATATCTTCTGGGCCAGACAGGCCAGTTAGAAAGTTCACTTGAAAGGATAAATGAGAGAGAGTAGTTACAAAACATATGGGGAATAAAAAATCCAAAGTCTTGGGTGTGGGTAGGATTAGCTCTACTAGATATTAAAACTTACTTGTAAAAATCTTTATAATTAAAGTAGGATGGTATTGATGCATGAATAAAAGGACAAGGTAACAGAATTGAAAATCAGAAATAGACCTCATTATACATACAAATTTAGTATGCTATGGTGGCCTCACTCAAAATCAGGGAGGCTATAGGATGGAATTTTTAATAAGAGGATTAGGATAATTGGAGAGCCATCTGGAAAAAGTTAAATGAGCTTGATATCTTATACCATTCAACAAGATAAATTCCAAGTGGATCTGATATTTATAGGCAATGTAAGTATACAAGTGAAAAAATAAGAAAACATGGATGAATACATGTATAATCTTTGAGTGGGAAAAACGTTTTAACTATGACTTAACATCCAGAAACGTGTTATAAGGGAAACACTACTGCTAAAAAAAGAACTTTTTCATGGAAAAGGAAATCATAGACACAATAAAAAGACAAAATGACAAACTGGATTTACATGGCCAGGCAATATATACACCTAGATTGAGTAATTAAATAAGTTATTTAGTGATGAGGAAGTTGGTAGCTTTAACAAGGGCCATTCTGGACGCATGTGCAAGGTCAAATCCTGATTGGAATGGACTGAGGATGAATGGGAAATGAGGAAATAGAGGTTGTTGGTGTCCACGATGCCTCTAACAAGTTAGGTAGAGAGGGAGAAGATACCGCAGAGCTGAAATGGGGGAGGAGGGGCAGGACTGCAACTGACGATGCAGATCACATAGGTGAGGGCTCACCTGTGTGATCTGCATCAAAGGTGAGTTGTTCCTATCTTTGTGAAGTTCTGAGAAATTATAAAAGTCATCCAAGTTACTACTTAAAAAGAGATCAACATCAGCAGCATTATTTGAAGCTTTGTCTTTGAGGACATGACAAAGGTTCCAGGAGAGATGACACAAGAGAGGAGTCTTGTGAGAATTGAATCTCTCTGTACTCATTATTTTACTTCTAACCTGTAATTTGCTTCCAAAATTTATTCTTCTTTTGTGAGTCACTCTCTTCTTTCCCTCTGCTAACCAACAACTCGTACCCCCAATCCCTTTGTCTACCTCTTGGCTAGGATTGTTGCTTCTTCCTTCCAGGACCCTGAAATGGAAGTCAGAGTCACCTCATAGGTTCTCTCGCTGCCTTCCCTATTTTCTTAGTTACAAAACATAACAATTACAATAAGAAGCAGAAAAATTAATTCATTAGCATGTCTTTTGGAGGAAGACTAGGGATAGTGGATAGGACCACAAGAATATGTTCGTATTACAAAACGTAATCTGTAAAATGCCTTTAAAGAAAGCCAGTCCTGTTAACTGGGCAGGGAGGTGGGGCGTGTAGCCTTTGTTTTGCTGAATGCCAAGTCTGAAATTTGGAAGTGGAATCTCCTTCAGGAATGAATTACTCTGCATAATAAAGAAGTGATGATCCAATAAGGCTGGCTATTGCATGAGGAAGGGGAAAAAGAAGATAGAAAGAAGCAGTGAGGGAGAGAGATGAAGAGAGAGAGAAGGAAGCTCCTCCCTACCATGCCCATGTTAGCACAGTCATGGAGAGCAAAAATAAAATTATATGCTTTAAATAGCTCATTTTGGGAAACAAAATGTAAAGCCTTGCCTCTTTGTCCCTTACCAAATCCTCAGTGAAGTCTCAATTGTGTGAAACCTTTTGTGTGGGTGGATTCATTTGGTAGAATGAATCCAAAAAGGTTCTGTGTTTTGAATCTGTTATGTGCAGAGCAAAATCAGATACTTCACATGCAAAGTGGAAGTGAGAGAACAAAGGATCAGTTGAGAGCTGGTTAACCTTTGGGAAGTCCAAGATGAAATTCTCTTAAACAAGATGCAGCACACAGTTGCAACTCGTATTGAATCACTACCTTCTGATTGATCTATGATTTCCCAATTACTGAAGCATGGCGTGGGAGAACTTGTAGAGATGTTGAGTGTTGAGACCAAATGAATGAATGCAGGAGAGAAGACAAGGGGAAGCTCTAATTTGTGTCACACACTATATTGCAGTAGATTATTTACTTTTTAATTCCCAAGAGACTGCCAATAACTGAAGAATTGGAATAATGTCTGTCTCAGCATTATATGCCCAGTGCCTAGCATGGTGCATGACAAGCACAGTATTTGTTGAATAAATAATTTCAAATCAGAATCCTGATTTTTAGACCAACTTCAACTTCTATCCTCTGAGAAATTTCATATTTTCTCAGAATGTACAAAAAGCATGTTCAATAGGGTAAAAAAATCAGTCAAAGGGCTACTCTGACCCCTCCTGCCCCTGAGACTGATCCAGGTTTTCTGACTTTTAAGTGAGTTGTGTAAAGTGTGAGTTATAATGTCTCATCTGATTCATTTTTCCTAGAAAGTAGTATTGATAAGTTTCAGCAGCATTAAAAAATAACATGATTGCCTTTTAAGTTTCAGCAGCATTAAAAAAAGTATGATTGCCATTGCACTTTTATAAATCTTAAATTCTCAACCTCCTTTTCATAGATCTTTAAATTTATTCTGTGGAATATTGAGTACTTACCCAATAGATGTCAGGTACCATGGAATGCACTGAAGATAAAGAGAAGCAGCAAAATGAATGAAATAAACATGGATGTAGGATTAGAATACAGTAGTAGAAATACCAAATTCTTGTTGATCTCTGAAGAAACCTTGTTCTTCCAAGCTCCTGAGTCTTTGTCCAAAATGTTCTGCCTGAAATTCTTATTGCTTCCTCCCTCACTGCACCGACGCTGCTCAATCTCCGCTATGCTTCCTGGTAAATCTGGAAATTTCCTATTCGTTGTTTGAGTTTGAGCTTGAATGCCAACTGCTCTTTCCTCAACTGTTTTCATTGATAATTTCTTCCTTTGTGTTCCCATAGTCTTGTATGCGTACCTTGTAATAATATGTGCTACCCTGTTGTATCTCCTTATGTGTCTGTACCTTCATTAGATTGATGGATATTCTAGAGGAGACTTCCTCAGAGAGTCCCTCATTTAAGAGGAGAAACACCCCGGGCTGAATCCAGCTACCTTGGATTGCTGATAGGTCACAAGATTTCAGTCCTGGCAACCAAGCAGTTCTGTGGTTCCTATCCCTGGTCTGATATTTCCACTGATGCACTACCAACTTTGGTTAGAATTGGCTCCTTTGAGAGTGGCTAGAGAGCTTCTTTGTCAGAAAGAATTTTACCGATGGCAAAGTTTTGGAAATCTATTAATCCCATCCTCTGTACCATACTTATTTTTGTAACCATTTTCTACTTGGAACCCTTAATCAAGATCACATTTGTCTAAACCATAAGCAACTGCAAATCGGAATTCTTAGAATCCTATGGCCAGATAATCTCATTTATTTTGAAATCAGCGTCTCACCTAGATTCCACTCCTTAGCTTGAGCTCTGCATATCCTAGTGTCTTTAAGATGTCTCCACTCGGAAATCCTCACTGGTAGAGGTGAGCTGGATCCAGCCTTTGCTAGCTTATGAAAGCCTGTTTGTGCATATTTCTTTCCAACTTCTCATTCAGTGATATCATCTTGGTAGCCTGAAATAGGCCATGATGGGTACATTTGCATCATGGAAATTATCAGAGTAAACAGATTTGTGGTTTTGTTTTCTGGGAGAGGAGGTTTGTCAGTATACTCCTGCTCATACCAATCTCAAGGTCAACTTGTCCAACCGGAATGTTTTTTCTTCTTCCAAATGTCTTCTGCTTCTTCTTCTCTCCATCTTTATAAGTGGTATCCCCAATCAGAAACGTGGCCACTGTCTTTGACTCACTTGTCTTCTCTCCTTGTGCTTCTATATGGTCATTCTCAGACAGGACTGAGTCAGTGTACAGTGTTAGTTGTCTCTTTCATCAGTTGTAATAGAAACTTGTAGCTGGACATGTGTTAGCCGAGATATACAAACCTTCCTGGTCTCTGTTGTATTTGAGCGTGGCCAGGACACTGAGTTCTCTGATATGTAAGCAGAGGCCATGTGTACCATACCTCCTCCCGGTTCTTGTTCCTCTTCCTACCTGTGTAAACTAGAAGGGACAGCAGCCTAGCTTAGACCACAGAGATGATGACAATATCCCAGGATGGGTGTTCTTAAAAATTCTTTTTGACATGGGCCCTTTGACAGTCCTATGACCACTTTTCCAAATACATAAAATAAAATGTGTAGAATTATAACAAAAGCCAATTATACTAAAGGCACTGTAATCAACATTTAAAATAACCTTATTTGTTATATAGTCATATAGCAATTTTTTAATAACACACTAAATAACCAAATTCAGCAGCCAGGTATTTACAGTAATTTCAAAGCAGTAATAATTATGAATGATATTTCAAAATTCTTCATTAACTGTACTGTGATATAAAAATATCTGTGATTTCAAATTACAGACTAAGCCACAGGCATTGCTAATACTACTGTGATTTGTTGTCATTATTCATAATGGAAAAGATTGCTAAACTTCATTTAGAAGTTAGTGAAAATAAAGATGTAATTTTTTTCCCATTCATGTTCACAGGCCTCCTAAATTCTGTCCACAAGCCTATTTGCAGGCCTGACAACCCTAGAATAAGACCATTGGTAGAGGATGGCAGAGCTTGATGTCTGGCTTCCTGGATGACCTGAAGGTACACATCCCAGCTAGATAATTACATGAGACATAAATAAATCCCTGTGTTGTTTTCTTGTTTAAGCCATTGCATTTTGGGAGCCTTTTTTCTTTCAAGGCATCCCACCCTGTCTGCATCTACCTATTAAGTATCTCTTCAATTTGTGATTCCTTTTTTTTTTTTTTTTTTTTTTTTGAGACAGAATCTTACTTTGTCGCCCAGGCTGGAGTGCAGTGGTGCCATCTTAGCTCACTGCAACCTGCACCTCCTGAGTTCAAGCGATTTTCCTGCCTCAGCCTCCTGAGTAGCTGGGATTGCGGGCATGTGCCACAATGCCTGACTAATTTTTGTGTTTTTAGTAGAGATGGGGTTTCACCATGTTGGTCAGGCTGGTCTTGAACTCTTGACCTCATGATCCACCTGCCTCAGCCTCCCAAAGTGCTGGAATTACAGGCATGAGCCACCACGCCCGGCCTGTGGTTCTTTTTTTGTCATCACTGTTGCTGTCTGGTATAGGTATTGCTGGGGCATTAACTTGAAATCGTTTCAGGTTTGGTTTTACAGCATTACTGAGGTATAATTTACATGCAGTAAGAATACATGCATTTAAAGACACCTGTGTACCCACCACAATCAATAGGTAGAATATTATCACTACCCCGAAGTTCCATTTCCTAGTCAATTTTGTCCTCCTGCTGGGCGAGGTGGCACACACCTGTAATCCCAGCACTTTGGGAGTCCGAGGCGGGTGAATCACAAGGTCAAGAGATTGAGACCATCCTGGCCAAATGGTGAAACCCTGCCTCTACTAAAAATACAAAAATTAACCGGGCATGGTGTCACATGCCTGCAGACCCAGCCACTCAGGAGGCTGAGGCAGGAGGATTGCTTGAACCTGAGAGGCGAAGGTTGCAGTGAGCTGAGATTGCACCACTGCACTCCAGCCTGGTGACAGAGCAAGACTCTGTCTCAAAAAAAAAAAAAAGAAAAAAAATTCTGTCTTCCTCGTGTGCATGCCCCACTGCCCATGCCTAATGTGCTTCTGGCCCTGGATAATTACAGATTTAGTGTTTGGCACTGCAGATTAGATTTGGTGTTTTAGGGTTTCACATAAATAGAATCACGTAGAATGTACTCTTCTGTGTCTGGCTTCTTTGACTTGCTATGGTTTTGAAGATTCATCGATATTGCATTTATCAGTAGTTTGTTCCTTTTCATTATCGAGCAATATATTTTATCTGTTTCTCATTTGATAAATATTCGGGTTGTTTCAAGATTGGGGCTATTGTGAATGGAGCGGCTCTGAACATTCATATATAGTTCTCTATATGGACAAATATTTTAATTTCTATTTGGTAAATACCCAAGGGTGGAATAACAGGGTCATATGGTAAGTAAATCTTTAACTTTTGACAAATCTTCAAAAAGTCTACTGGAGTTTATTGCTTTTAATCTGTAGGTAAATTTGGGGAGAAGAGCTCTAGTAACAATATTGAATTTTCCAATTCATGAAAACAGTTTATACCTCTCAGTTTGAATTTATAGAGACTTGGTTTTATTTACTTTAAGGTGGGTCTTGAAAAGCCTGGGCTTTTAACCATGTTCCTCTCTTTTACTGGAACTCAAAACCTATAAACTCTGTTTCCTCCTTCAGTGAGCAACAGATTAAATATCTACTCATCCAGCTGTTGTTCTGTGCTAGGCTTTGTGGAGTCTCTCTTGGATACACAGAGCTCAGGGATCAGTCAAAGATTGGAGATTAGATTTCGGGGCTTTTTCTTCTAAGGCCTTTCTCCTGGAATTTCCCTACTCAATTTCCAGTCACTCCGACTGCCTTGAACTCCATCATATAACACCTCCAGGCTGCAAGTCTGCAGTTTTCTGCTTGAATTCAAGTTGCTTTGCACAATACACACTGAGATATATTGTCAGAATAAAAGCCCTTAAAGCTGGGTCCCACGCAGCATAATTCCCTACTTTTAAGCATCAAATTCCCTCCAGTTTCTGCCAGTTTTTGGCCTTTTTCTAGTGTTTTCACATCATTTTTTAAAATGTGTTTTTTCCAGAGTTTAATACTATTCTATGTGAAATGTTAGTCTCATATAAGCCACTCTGCCATTTTTTTTTTTGCAATTGGAATCCTAATCCATTTATATTTCATATTATCATTGCTATATCTATATAATTTTATCTTACTATTTGGTTTTTATGTGTCCCACATTCTCTATTCCATTTTCTCCCTTTTTGACCTTTTGTTTGTTTGTTTTTGAGACAGAGTCTTGCTCTGTTGTCCAAGTTGGAGTGCAGTGGTGTGATCTCAGCTCACTGCAACTTCTGTCTCCTGGGTTCAAGTGATTATAATGCCTCAGCCTCCTGAGTAGCTGGGATTACAGGCATGAGCCACAAAACCTAGCCAATTTTTTGTAGTTTTAGTAGAGATGGGGTTTTACCATGTTGGCCAGGCTGGCCTCAAACTCCTGACCTCAAGTGATCTGTGTGCCTCGGCCTCCCAAAGTTCTGAGATTACAGGTGTGGGCCACCGTGCTGGGCCCCCCTTTTTACTTCTTGTGTGTTAGTCAAAAAATTTAAAATTATTCCATTTCCATTCTCATTTCGCTTGTTAGTTATGCAAACTACTTGGAATTTCTACTCTATTTTGGAAATTTCAAAATGCGTCTTTGACTTAATGAAATCTAATATAAATTGATACTTTTAGTCATTCTTAGGGAATGAGGGACTTTAGAAAACTGTGATCCATTTACATTTAACTCCTTCACATTTTCTTGCTATTGTCAGGCATTTTAGTTCTAGCAATATTTATTCACTTTATTTCTTTTAGAGATGGAAAAGAAATAGGTTGCCTAGGTTGAACTGGAACTCCTGGGCTCAACTGATCCTCCTACCTTAGCCTCCCAAGTTGCTAGGACTATAGGTACTCACCACTGACAGATTTAATTCTAGGAATATTTAAAACACTGCAATATACTGTGTATAATACATACATATATATACTCCTTATTCATTTAGATTTGTACACTTAGTTTCCTTCTTTTTAATTCTTCTTTCTCTACTGTCATTTGGAGGAATTTCTCTTCTGTCTCAAGAACTATCTTTAATATTCTATAAGGCATCATCTAGTGACAGATTCTCAAAGTTACATTTTAAAAAATCTTATTTTGCTTTCATTTTGTGGGTTGCTTTTGCCGGTATACTATTCTAAATTGACAAGTGTTATTTGTTTTTGCTTTTGGTGGTTAAGGGCATCAGCACTCTGAATATGCTACCTCATTTTCCTTCTATTTCCTTAACTGCCCTTTGCTCCTCTCTCTCACTTTCTCTCTAGAATCTAGATCTTTCAACCCCTCACTGCCCCAGTTGCTCTCTGATGCTTAACAGATCAAATATAACATTCTCCAGCTTTTCTAGTTGCCCTCAAAAGGAGGCTACAAGCGAGTCTGCTATTTTGGGAAACATAAATTGTATTTATAATTATAAATATAAACTAATAAACTATACATACATCTATGTATATGTGCGTACATGTGCGTGTATATATATGTGCACATTCTATATGATTTTATTATTATTTCATTTTCCAAACGAATGTCTGTGGCTGATACATAGAAATGCTTGCACTTCATTTTAATAGTGCGTTTATAGCGGCACACATCGAGAACAAAGATGATTAGACATGGCCATATTGGATACTTTTGCCTGTTTTCATTGTTAATTTCAACATTTCACTACGTTTGATTAAATATATGATGTTAGATTTATGATATTTGCTTTTCTTAATGCCTTTTATTAGTCTGAGGAAGTTCTCTTCAAAGAAAGAGTTGGCAAAATGTTTCTATTCTTAATGGAAGCTGAATTATTGACAAAGACCTTTTCTGATTCATTGATTTAATTATATGATTTTTTTAAACTTGCATCTTTAAATGTGATAAATAACATTAGTATATTTTACAAAGCTAAACAATCCTCTTGTTACTGACTTAAGTTGAACTAGGTTATAATATAGATTGCATCTTTATATATAACTCTGTTGTTCTATTTAAGGGTGCAAATTAACATGATTGTTTTTGTTTGTTTTTGAGACGGAGTTTTGCTCTTGTCACCCAGGCTGGAGTGCAATGGCATGATCTTGGGTCACCACAACCTCTGCTTCCTGGGTTCAAGCAATTCTCCTGTCTCAGCCTCCTGAGTAGTTGGGACTACAGGCGTGTGCCACCATGCCCAGATAATTTTTTTGTATTTTTAATAGAGAGAGGGTTTCACCATGTTGACCAGGATGGTCTCGATCTCTTGACCTCGTGATCTGCCCGCTTCGGCCTCCCAAAGTGCTGGGATTATAGGTGTGAGCCACCGCGCCCGGCCTAACATGATTGTTTTGAAAAGTAGAATGGCAGTATTTTTGTTAGTTTGTGTTTACCTATGTCCTATGGCCAAACAATTCAACCTGGACACATCACAGAGAACTTCTCAGTCAGGTCCATAACAAATCACATGCAAAGTTTGTTTTCAGTGGATTGTATACATGGTGTAGTTGTAGGAAATTACATAGACTTTAATATGTATTACTATGAAATGGTTAAGAAAGATATAGTGGATGTGTATTGCGGGACCCTATCCAGCAGTTAGAAGCAACTCAGTAGATTTACCTGTAACATGAAGGGCCCTTAAGAACAGCTCTAAGTTAAGAAAGAAATAAACATTATAAATCTTTATCACAACATTTTTTATGTAAATTAAAATTATACAAAGCTCAATACATGGATACACACATGTTCAAAGACAAAAAAAAAAAAAAAATTCTTCCTGCTGTTCTGGTTTTATGACTCATCCTGTAGCCTACCTGGGATGTCCTACCCCTGTACCAATCCAGACTCTACAGTTGGTGAATCCCCAACTCAGGGGCAATCTCTACAGGAAACTTTCCAATGTAACTCTAGACCACATTGATCTCTCCCATATTTTAAAATCCTATGACACATTCACATATTTTCTACCCAGACGATGTCACACATAAAACAAGGCAAAGAAATATCAGCTGTAAACAGGTATCTTTGATGTCCTTTTTCCTTTCTCCATCTCGATGTTAGATTGAGTGACTATATCCATGCTTGCTTCCCACGGAGCACTTTTGCCTTGTTTTCATTGTTAATTTCAATATTTTATTATGTTTGATTAAATATATGATGTTGAATTAATGGTATTTGATTTCCTT